CAGATTTCGTGGCAGGCGCAGCACTTTGTGAATCTCGATGTGCAGATCTCGTTGCAGGCGCAGCACTTTGTGAAGCTGGATGTGCAGATTTCGTGGCAGGCGCAATACTTTGTGAACCTCGATGTGCAGAGTTCGTGGCAGGCGCAGTACTTTGTGAACCTCGATGTGCAGATTTCGTGGCAGGCGCGGTACATTGTGAACTGCGAAGTGCTCCTATGTACTCGCCTGTGTGCTCTCAGATTTGTGCTTGTATGTGCTCTCACATTTGTGCTCTCAGATGTGTGCTCCCATATGCTCTCATATCTTAGAATCACTGATGGAGGCTCTTTGAAGGATGACTCTTCAACTGGACTGAGGGCAATGACAAAGCTATGAAATCCTATGATTTTCCTATCATTTACCAATACCACTTTAGCTTGGGAATTCCATAGAATTTCATAGCATTTCATAGGATGATGGGGTTTCAGAGAGAAAAGAAGAGGGGAGAGGCTTCAGGACTGATGAACAACAAGTGAAACTCATAGATCATTTTGGCCCAAGAGGACTCTCCTTAGAGACCAAGGGCCAGGCAAAATGCCACAAAAGAAGAGGAAAGGTGTCCCTGGCAGATGCTCCTTGCCAAGTGGATACCAACATCCTCCATGGCTTCTGCACGGGGCAGCAGGAGGATACCATGGTGGGATCCCAGCCTGGATGCAGAGTCAGGCATGGCAGGATGATGCTGCTGATGACAATGATGATGAGGAGGAGGACCAGGATGATGATGAGGAATCAGAGTCGACTCTTTGCTTCATTTAAGCCTGGGTCACTGAGATGCTTCCATTTAAATCATAATGGGCCTCAAATGATTTCTCTGAGACTATTATTGATATTGAATCACTGCTCAAAAGTATACTCACAAACACAGCTCCACACTGGGCATCTGAGGAAATCACATGGCAAGAGCAAGAAGAGCAAAGCCAGGAAGAGCAATGGCAGTCGCAAGCAGATCAAGAAGAAGAAAAAGAAGAGCAAAAAGGCCAAAAAGAACAAAAAATCAGGCTTCTTGAAGAACTTGGACTGGAGGTTTGGGTTTGTTTTGAAAGTTGATGATAACAAAGTTGGGTCAGATCAAATTGTTCTAGTCTAGTTAGTTATAATTAATTAATACTGTGTTATGTACAGTGAGTGTACAACCACTTGATGTGTGAACTGACCCCCCTCACTGAACCAGGCCACCCTCCCTAACATCTAAACATCTTTGTGCCAAGGCTCATCCAGCTCAGCAGGTGGGTCTGAATCATCATCTGAACTGGATGAGGAGGCAGTGGGTAAGATGAAGGTGCCCAAGCATCTGGGTGGCAATTGATATGTCATTGATGATGGTGCCCACTCATTTGGGTGTCCAATTGTATGGTCCTCATAGGAAAAGTTTAAAAGGTATGCTTCAGTTAATTTCAGGTTGTGAAAGTGCCTCCTGTCCTGACCTGTGTTTGCAGAGTGCCAAGGCATTGGGTGTCTTTGGGCTGTGACTTCAACCAAGATGGAGACAAGGTGACTGGGAAGAAGAATAGTGTCCCTCGCAGGTACAAGTGCAGATGGTTGTCCCAGATGGGAGACAACTTCCCAGTATGCAACTTGGGCTTAATTATTATGCTTCACAGTGTTAAAACAAGTAGCACTGATACCACATGCCACAGGCCTCTTGCTTGAAGGTGCCTAAAGTTAAGTTTGATGAGAATGGGACATGAGTTTGTTTGACATAGTATCATAGCACTGTTACAAGTAGGGGCTGAGATGTGGTTTGAGAACAGAAAACAAGGTCAGACAAGCAAGCTGCAAGACAGCCACTTGGACATGCTGCTGTTCATATTAACTGGGCTTGGGCCTAAAGTGAACATCAAGGACTTGATGGTCAAATGCAAGGCAGACCTGACATTTGGCAGCAGTGTTTGCTTAGCAGGGTTTGGTGCTCAGCTTAAATAATGATGTACAGGGGTGCTGCATTGCAACATCTTACAAGGTGGGCCAAAGAGTGGATGGTAGTGACAGTGGGATTGACCTGAGGACCAATGTGGTGGTGGAGGCCTACACTCGCACTGCCAAGCAGACCCAGAATGCCAGGGTGTTGGGGCTTGATCTGGAGCCCCAGCCAGCAGTTAATTTGTTGGCAGCTCAAGGTCAGGTGGTTTTCATGTGAATAGGTGCCTTGGTATTGATGTGTGACACAGTTTGAATTCCCTCCCCCCCCCACACACACACACAGAGGAGTTGTAATACATCAGCCTCATTTTAGTTGCCTCCCAGGAGAATTTGGCCTGAGTTTTGTTCTTTAGTGGTGAATGAATTGAATAGGTGTCCTTGAGTGATGTTTGGCAATTGAATTCCCTCCCACTCCCCACACACACAGAGTGAGTTGACATCAGCTCTCATTAGTTGCTCCCATTTGGCCTGAGGTTTGTTCTTTAGGTGAACAGGTGTCTCCTTGATTGATGTGACACAGGGCCACACACACAGTTTGAATTCCCCCCTGAATCAGCAATCAGCTCTCATTTGTTTGTCCCCAGGAGAATTTGAGCAACATTGCAGAAGTGGCCTTAAAGTGTGGCTGGAAGCAGAACTTCAATGCAAAAGCCAAGTCAAAGAGGTGGCTTGCCCTGGTTTGTAAACTAACTAGGTAACCTTGAAGGGCTTGAAAGCATTTGGGCTGGTAACCAAAGCATTCTAGTCAAGTCTACAGTGACTGGCAAACTGTTCATTGTTGTTGAACATCAGTGCAATCCTTTAAGGCCAGAGGAGCAGCCAGAGCATGACAATGCCAAGGCATCCTTGGGCACCTACAAGGCAGTACTTGGGTGCCTTGCCTGAAGCCAACTGAACTGAGTGTGACAGAAGCCCTCAATTTGGTGCCACCCCAAATGGTGTGTTGGTGTGCACAAGGCTGCCCTGCTTGTTGGTCAAGGTCAGAGGTTATCTTGCACAGTCAACCATGTGAGGCAGAAAGGAGAGCTGACTGCATGGTGTGGAGACCAGAACTATGTTGTGGCACCACCAGGGGCACTCATCACCATGGTGTATCGACATGCTGCCTATCATTTGCTCCTCAGTGCTACAGCCTGGACACAAGAGTTGCTTGGCCTTAGCTGATTGAGAGGTAAGGGTTGTTTAAGAAGTGCCACTGTGATACATGCACACCAGATCAGTGCAAGAGCTGCTTAACAAGTGCCACTTCAAACTCAAGTCCACTGTTCAGTGATTCTGATACATGCACACCAGATCAGTGCAAGAATTGTGACATGACATGACATGTGGTCAGTGAGGGTGGTATTCAAGCTGGACTACATATTTGGCAGCCAAGAAGCCCTACAGGAGTGGTGGTCAAGAGTAGTGGCTGGGAAGGCATTATTGAGTCAAACCAATATCATGGCAGGCTTGACTTGAATTCACATTGAAAGGCCTGTCATCATCACTCAATCATTTTCAGCTGAGTCTGACATGAAGCAAGGCTGAAGCTGCTTGCTTGTCCAAAGACCAGAGCCATTGGGCTGCCAAGTATGTTGAGTTCTGCCTCAGCACCTTGGCATAATACTCTGACTGATTGGAAACCTTTGGCTGACTTTGATGTCATAGTAAGTCATGATGTTACATTCATGTTTATTCAAGTTGAGTGTAATGATGCATTGGGCTCTGACTGAGGGTTTCCATAGCACTACTTGAAGGCCCTGAGAGTAATGCCTGACTTATCATCATTCAAGTTGTGCCTCAGGTATACCAAAGGATCACTGGCAAGCCTTACAGGTGAGAAACCTGCTCAAGCAGCTGCCATCCAAAGCTGCAAGTGGAGCTTCAGTTGCATCATGCCATGCTTGGGTAGGCAATCCTTTGAGCATCAGGGCCAACAAGAAATTGAAATGATTGACTATTTAATAAAGTTATACAAACAATAGTAAATCATTTGGCATGGGCACAGCTTACTTTTGGAAGTCTGAATGAATCTAAATGACATGTCCTTTAAAACTAAAAGTGTTGAAAGCATCAGACTGACAGTAACCAGGAGCTGGTGAAAGCAGCACCACAGCACCTGGATCCTCACAGCAGCAAGAAGCTCCTGGGTATGCATCCTCTTCAGCATCAGTGCCCTCTTCCCAGGCCAGTTGAAAATTACTTTGAACTTTGAACCAAATTAAACAATAGTGTGTACCAGACTCTCATCAGCTTGCAGCAAGTTAGGAATACTTTGAACATTGATTCCATAGAAAGGCCCTTTCACCCCAGCTAGGGTTCAGCTTGCAGGCAGTGACCTTGGTTCTTGGCCAAAGCCCAGAAAAGCCATTTATCCCAAGTAGTGCCCCACAAGTGAAGCAGCAGACCACCTTCATGGCTGGCACTGGCCAAATTAAGAGGGTGGCAGTGGTGGATCAGCAGGAGCAAGTGCAGCCACTGGTACCATGGTCTGGCCCACCACCACTTGGTCAGCAACCAATCACACAGGCCAGCCAGGGCCAGCCAGCAATCGCAGCAGCTCCAGGTACCACCCATCCACAACAAATGCAGCCAGCACAGGCCCAGCAGAAAGCACCTATCATGACACCCCAGCAGCACCAAGCTGTTCCAGGCATGGGTGCCCACCAATTGGCTCAACAACAGCCAGTGCAGCAATGGCAGCAACAGCCTATGCAGCAGCAGTATCAGCCACAGGTGCAACAGCAGCAAGCCACTTGTCAATACCTGCAGCAGCAACAAGCTGCTCCAGGCATGGGTGCCACACAACAGCAAGCATTGCCTCAGCAACAGCAGCAACAAGTTGTTCCAGGCATGGGTGCCTACCAACCCACACAACAGCAAGCAGCTGCCATGGCACCTCAGCAACAAGGCATGGCCTATGCACAACAGCCTCAACAACATAGTCAGCAGGCACCAGTGGTACAACAGCAGGTACCAGGCCAGATCCAACAGCAGCCACCACAACAGCCTCAACAACAGATTCAGCAGGCACCAGTCCAACAGCAGGTACCAGGCCAGATCCAACAGCAGCCACCACAATGGCCCCAACAACAGGCACCAG